GGTACAAACCCAAACCACAATGAGATACCGATTTACATACACTAGGATAGTTATAACAAAAAGGCTGGAAATAAATTTTGGTGCAGATAAAGAAAATTTTGAATTTTTTTAGATTGCTTGAGGGCATGTATAATACTACAGCCACTTTGCTTGTTCTTCAATAATTTATACATATGGGAACCAGCAGTTAGCGTAATGACTATGTCTCTGGACTCCTACAAAGTCGACCGCGGTTTGCATCCGGGACCCGGTGGCTTAAAACTCACGCCAGGCGCGTGTGCGTGCGTGCCCAAGATCCTGAGAGGAGAATGGAGGAGAAGGGATTGTGGTGTGACCGTCCCCCCTGGGGGGGTGATTTCTCACTTTCTGTCTCTATGTCTCTCTCTGTCTGTCAGGTGAGCGCACGTGCCCTATAGCGAAAACCTCTCCAAATAAATAAATAAATAAATAATTTATACATAGAATTATCATCTGATTGAGCAATTAACCTGTCTATAGATACTACTAAATTTGAAAATAGATACAAAAAAAGATACACAGATGTTTATAGCAGCGTTGTTCTTAATTCTTAAAAGGATAAAAAAAAAAAAATGACCACCAATGACTGAACAAATTGTACTATACAATTTGTTAATTAGTCACAAACAGGAATGCAGTACTGATGCATATAGGTAAATCCACAGAAACAGAAATCAAATTAGTGGTTATCAGAAGGTGTGATAGAGAAGGTAAGTAACCAATCAAACGGTATGGATTTTGGGCCAACAGGTGGCTTTGCGGTTAAGGCAATGGATCCCACAGGGCCAACTGCTAATTTTGAATTAATGTGAATTTCAGTCACTCAGAATTTTATCTCATTTTATTATCCAATCACTCACAATTTCATTTCTGAACATGTATCTCATCAAATTATTAAATTTAAGAAAAAAGAAGACACTCGAGATTATTTCTGTAATTGAAAAATCCTGCATAAATGTCTAAATTTATCCAATCCTTCATTTTACAGTTTTTCTGAGACTTACTTTTTTCCTCTCTAAAATCAAGATAATAGTGACTGTTTAACATGTCCTTTCATTAAGTATTTTAATTTCCTGTAGCTAAAAATACATAAGAGCACAAACATTAGTTAATTGATATGCATTTTTGTTGTTAAATGTGTTCTCTTAAAATCTTGATGCATTTTGTCCAGATATCTGAAGTTAAGCTTAACACAGGATATTATGTTAAAGGGGAATAAAAAGAACAACAACGATAAAAAAAAAAAAACACCAAAATAATTTTCATGGGTGTGTATAGGTAGTTGGATTCTATATGACCGTATTTCCCATTTTTGTTAAAGGACATTATGTATATATAATACATGTACATATGCACCCCCACCCTCCCCCTCCACATACACACACAGTAATCGTGGTAATCCTGACATTTGCTTACTCTGAAACCATCAGTTGCCCCAAATTGCTATCTTAATATAAAATGCATAGAAGAAAATAGAATTCAAGTTTTTCTATAATTTAGGCTCGATCAAATTTACAGATTTGGTTTTTCTTTTCAAATTGTCAAACTGTGGACTGCTCAGTCTGAATCGACTGCTATTCCTGTATGACTGAATGCTGCTTTCATGAAGCGTGTTGTCTGCCCACCAGGAATTTTTTTTTTTTCTATTCTGTCTGCCTGTTTGTTCTTCAAAGTCTGAAATATGCTTCTGTCTCCAACATGATCCCCAAGAGTTGACATGTCCTCTAGTCTGCTGTTACCTCTCAGGTGATATGCCATTCAATACTCTTTGGAGCAGAGATAAAAGTTTGTGTCATATCACCTTCACCTGACTTGATGTTTCTTGCAGATTCACTTTTGTGTATGCATGCACACACACACACACACACACACACACACATCCAGTAGTTTGTATCTGGGAGATAATTAATAAATAAAATGAGGAAATGAATGATGTGATATAAGACTGAAATTTAGTGGGGTCATTTTTTATTTATTAAAATAATAGCTTCTCACTTTTAAAGGTTGTTCTGTCATGGAATATTATTATTTTTCCCTAAGTAAAAAAAATTGAGAATATGAAGATTGGTCTATAAGTATATATTTGTGTCGTTAATTATATTTTCTTATAATTTTGATTTATGTTTTGCCCAAATACTCACACTTAACCTAGTTTTATACGTTATATTTCACATTTTTTCTTTAAAGATAAATTACAAAAATTTACTATTTAAAAATGGGTTGAAATAGGAATTTCAGCTTCTGTGGTTGGAGGACGGTCATTAGCAACATTACCTAGGATGAGCAACACATCATAATATACTTTCACTTTACTTTTCATACAAAGTTAACCAACTTCCCTGAGAGCAAACATGTACCACTGCACCCTGCCACAAGGACTATTCTGCAAAAACATCTGCCCAGAAACTGCCTGTCCATCTGATAACAACTGATGCAACAACGATGCTAATAACAAAGCGTAGTACTAATTCCAAAACAATGATGCAACTTCTTCCCACTCCAGTCTCTGCTTATGCTTTTTGCCTTTAAAACATTTCAAGGATTGAAAAACCTTGATAAGCAAGTTGGGGGCTATCTGAAATATGTCCATCTGAGCTATACTCTGGTGAAGTCCTCAATTTATATCCAAATAAAGATTTTTGTGCTTTACATACTTTGTGTCAGTTTACCATTTTAGGATCATAATATCAAAAGTTTGTTTCATTTCATTTCTGAGTAGTATGTTATTACATGGGTGTACTACAGTTTGTGAAACTTTTCTACCACTGAAGAATGTCTGGGTTGTTTCAAGTTTTGACTATTATAAATAAATCTGCTATAAATATTTATGTACAGAATTCTGTGTGAACTGAAGATTTCATTTATTTGGGGAAAATACCTTAGAGTGTACTTGCTGGGTCTGATGGTAGTCATATGCTTAGTCTATATAGAAGCTATCAGAATATCTTCCAGTGTAGCTATGGCATTATAGATTACCAACAGCAATATATAAGTAATCTAGTTTCTCTGCATGTGTGCCGTAATTTGGCATTGTGCTTTTTTATTTTTTTTTATTTTAGCAATTGTGATAGGTGTGTGGTGATATTCCATTATAGTTTTAACTTGGATTTACTCAATGGCTCATGATGTTAGGTTATGTTCAGGTACTTATTTGCTATCTGTGTGTTCTTGAGTGAAAGGTCTCTTCATGTAGGCCCATTTTTTGATCATACAATTTTGTTTGTTGTGTTGCTATTGCTTTTAACTGATCAGAGTTTTTATGTATGAACTTTGCTTCCATGTCAAATATGTGAATTGCAACTATTTTCTATAAGGCTGCATGCAGTTTGTAGTTTGTATTTTTATCCTCACAATAAATTCTTTTATAGAGTTAGTTTTTCCTTTTACCCTTTTACAAACTAGGTTTGTAGTATATGGTTTAAGAACTCTTTTCTTAGCCATAGATACTTTTTTTTTTAAGATTCTAAGGTTTTTTCCCATGCTTGTATTTTCTAAAAGTTTTATGGATTTACATCTGACATGTAAATGTAAGATCCCCTTTTGAATTTGCATGAAGTATGAGGCTCAAGTCAACATGGTGTTTTCATTTTGTTGTGAGTTTTCTTTTGTTTAGTTGTTTTTGTTTTTTGTTTTTCTGCCTACAGATATCTAATCATTTCAGCACCCTTTGTTGAAAAGACTTTTTTTTTTCCATCGAATTGCTCCTATGACTTTGCCAAATATCATTTAGGCATATTTGTGAAGATCTATCTAGGTTCTCTATTCTCTTTCTTTGAGCTAAATGTCTATCTCACTATGAGTGCCAGTCTTTGTAGGTTTTAAAACCATTTTTTTCCCTGTAAAAAGTTCATCAGCAGTTTAATATAATAATAATAATTTAAAGTTATTCAGATAAATAATGTTTAACAAAACTTATTAGGATATTTTAATATGCTCATATACTAATTTGTTATATATGATTATATCAAGTGTATTTCTTATTATGGCTTTTTATTTCCAAAATCGCCATGAATAAAGATAACACAGAGAAAAGGTTAGGAGAAAAGACCAAGATATGTAATAGGAAAAGATGCCCTTGATTACAATCTCTCTTTTTTACTGTAAATTAATTTTTAATCAAAAATATAAACTCCTCTAAAAAATACAGCATATATGTATTCCAAAAGACTAAAACCATCAAATAGCAGGTCACTTGAACTTTGAAATCCCATGTGTTCAAAAGCTTTTAAAGCATTATATGAGGCTTCTTGCCTTAAGTCCATAAATTTTTATTGTCCTTCTTAAAGCTCGTAAAACTTTCTTGAATGATTTCCAATCATTTCTTCTCTACAGAAACTAATCTGCTGAATTGCCTTTCCAACATTTACTTTGCTTTTTAACCATACGAATTACGTCTAAGTACAAAATACTCAACATCCATACATATTACTCTAATTGTGCTTTAGAACTGACATGGAATAATGAAACACTAATTGCAATTAAAACATTTTATTTTTTATGAATTAATTTGGTGGCTTGCCCCAGTTGGCATTATTTTTCAGACCACAAAGCTAATTTTCAGATACTACCAAAGAATCCATTGACCACAATTTGCAACAATGTGTTCACCAGCCCCAATACACTGCAGCTCAGGGTTTCACCAGTGGGAATTTGTCAACTCCAGACACACAAGATATACCCAAACACGCAGGAAGCCTTAACCAGGAACTTTCAGAAACCCCACTTGAAGAATTTGAGAAACCTGATATAATTCCCTCAGCAATAAAATGGGCTTGAATCAGCATAAGCACACAACAAATTGCCTCATTTATTTCCTAGTCAGATACAGAAGGAAAGACATTGTCTCCAAATCTTTGTTGTGCAAAGTGGCCATTAATGCCCCTGGCAGTTACGTGCTATGCCAAATATTTCCTAGGTGAGTAGGTGGCTAAGTAACATTAGAAAGAATATATAGCAAAGGAACTTTTTTTTCACTCCTTTACCTGTTTGACATCATATGCCAAAAGGACGTATTTTAAGTCAGGTGAAACTGAATGTCTTGATGCTTTAAAGGTTACCTAGCAAAAAAAAAAAAAGAAAAACTATTATTATAAAAACTTAATAACAAGGATATAACATGCATTTGGACATATAAATACCAAAAAAATCTTAAATTTTATGATAACACTACAAAATAGGCATTTCACTTTTTATTTGATATGTGTATATGTGTGTATATATGCATGATATATATATATATATATATTATATATATATACACACAAATGAATATAAATACTTGGAGACACTAAGACATTTCAGTACAAGAAAAGTTGCTAATAATGTTTTTATATGTTATCCTTTAAAGAGTTTGCTAATATTTTTATTATAAGCAAGCAGTATTTAAGGGTTAATTCAAATTATTAAATAATCAATATGCTTTTATATTTGCATGTTGAATTAATCAAAAGGAAAATAAATATTGACAATCTGTGTGTAATGATTTTCTGCCTCTATGCTTTCATGTTCTTCTTGATTGAATATTTATTTTTAAAGAAGAGACATTGAAGACAAAAATCTCTTTAAAATAAACCCAAGGGCAAAACAAATTAAAACACAAATACAGAACTGAGTTTATTCCATACCAAACAACAATAATTACACTGTACCTGAATGATTTTGAGCCCATAATTAAATAATTAAAACAACCTGATGGGAACAAAAAGCATTTAAAATGCACAATAAGGTGCAGCTGTGGAGGTTCAGGTGGGCGGTACCACTGCACCAAGCTGGAGCTATATGGGATGGCCCAGGGTTCAGATCTCAGGTCAACTGGAATACCTCTGGTATTCCTGTGATCCCTGTTGGTTGGAAGGCCAGGGTTAGGATTATCTTATGAGAAGGCCCTGTGGAGTCTTCATACATAGTGAAAGAGGAATATTTTGAGGGCAGAGAAATGATTGCATTTGAAATATAGATACCTACCTAATTCATATCTAAAGAGAGAGTCAGCAAATTGTATTGATACATTGAAAGCCTCCAAATACAAACCAAATGCTAAAGTAAATTAAATGAGAATTTTAAACAAACTAGAGATTTTGCATGTATTTGGTAAAGTCAGGTTTTTGTTTTGTTTTGTTTTAATTATTTTAGTTAGGACTCCCAAAGTACAATGGATAGGATAAGAAACTGAGATGATTCAATATGCAGAAAGTCTGGGTGGCATAATAAAAAGTATATTTGCTCTTTTTTCCTGATTCTGGTACAGAGGTCCAAAAGCCCTTGAAACTTCCTGAGGAATAGGAAATGTTTTGTTATTCATAGAAAAGCCCTTTCAACCTTAATGAGTTTATGGTAATGACACATGAGGGGGCAGGGCTACTTTATAGCTTCTATGGGGGCTGGTCATCAGACCAAATTAACCATATAATTAAAGGGTTAGAACTTTTAGCTCCACCCAAGACCTGGAAGGGCATAAGGGAATAGATTTTTTAGTTCAATGCCATGGCCAGTGATTTAATCAATCCTGCATCATCATCATCATCATCATCATCATCATCATCATCATCATCATAGCTTGATAAATTCTGAATGACGAGGTTTGGAAGTACTTCCTGGCTAGTGAACATACACACCAAGGGTGATGCACTGGGAGGCTGATAAGCCCAACTCCAAAGGGACAGAGGCCCCTGTGTTCAGGACCTTTCTAGGCATCATACTGTGTACCTCTGAATCTGTTTGTTTCCTCTATGGTAGACTGGTAATCATAAATATAACTCTTTCCTGAGCTTAGCAACTCATTCTTAAAAATTATTCAGTGTGAAGGAGATAGCGGAACCTTCCCTATTTGTAGTCAAGTTCAACAGAATGGAAGCATCCTCAGAACCTGGGACTTGTTGTCCAGCAGTTGTCATAATGGTTATGTTGCTGGACTCTCATGTGGTCGACCAGGTTCGAGTCCCAGAGCCAGTGGCTTAAACTCACACTGGGCACGTGTGTGTGTGCATGCCTAAAATCCCTAGAGAAGAATGGAGGAGAAGGGATTATGGCATGACCATGCCCCCTAGGAGGTGATTTCTTGCTTTCTGTCTCTCTGTCTGTCTTTCGGGTGAGCACACATGCCCTATAGCAAAAACCTCTTCAAAAAAAAAGAAAAAAAAAAGAAAGAAAGAAAGAAAAAAGAATCTGGACTTGCAGCTGGCAATTTAGATGAGAAAACAGTGTGTAATTGAGCTCTTTAATCTGTTTACTCTTGGAGCCAGTAGGTGGCATGGTGGATAAGGCGCTGGATTCTTACATGGTTGGCTGGCATTAAGTCCCTGATCTAGTGACTTGAAAATTGTGCTGGGCATGTGTGCACACATGCCCAAAATAGCAAGAGGAAGATGGACTTGAAGGGACTGTAAAATGGCCATCCCTGCCTTGGGGAGACTTGTCACTTTCTCTCTCTCCAGCTAGGGTGCACACTATAGCAAAAACAGAATAAACAAAAACAAAAACACCTGTGTGGTCTAATTCCTTGTAGTTAGTGTCAGAATTAAGAGATTGTTGTCCTTAATTTGCCCACATGAACTCTAGATAATGTCACAATTAAATTGAATTGGAAGACATGCAATTGTAATTGAGAATTGTTAAAATGACATAGTTTGTAAATCCCTGAGGAAGACAAGCAAAATAATAGTGTTCATTGGGACATACCATCACATAGTAATGCTAAAATGCAGGGATTTTGCCTACTCATACTCATCCTTAACTATCTACATATAAGTCATGTTTGAAGAAGTCAGGGAGGTCACTGTGACAGTTTGGGTTTGGCCCAGTTGTGGTAGTGCAGCAGAATTGCAAGTCTCTGCTTGGAAGGGATGTGAAAAAAACCATGATTTGCTTCCCAGGCCGACCTGTACAGCATTCTGGGCACACGTGTGCCTGTGATCTAGGCTGGCTGGGAGGGTAGGGTGGAGACCTGCACGGCGAGACTTTGTGAGAGTGCTTGTCTCTCTCCCCTCTTTCTTGTTCTCTGTCTCTTATGAAAATAAAGGAATAAACAACCTATATAAATATTTTGGTTTTCAGATTTTAAATGATCTATTTTAATAATAATGAATAGAATAACAACATTAGCAGTCATTATTGATTTATTTGTTTATTTATTTATTTATTTATTTTAAATCTCTCTTTTCATCCTTGTTTCCTTGCTTTAGTCTTAACTTTCAGCTACCCATTATAGATTGTCCCCTGCTGGGTTCACTGTTCTCAGGAACACTTTCCACAAAATGATCTAAATGAGCATTAAAGAGCAATCTGCTGCTAACTTTCCAGTCTCCTTTGACTTGGTGAATACACTTCTCTTTGCCTTTTTTTTTTTTTTTTTTTTTTTCAGATTTTTGCTGTTAGGGCATGTGCATTCACCAGAGAAGACAGAAAGCAAGAAATCACTCTTAAGGGGGGAGTGGCAGGGGATGACCACACAACAGTCCCTTCCCCTCCATTTTCCTTTCAGGATTTTAGGCACACATGCACATGTTCCTGGTGTGAGTTTTAAGCTGCCAGATTTAGTACTCAAACTGTGGTCAGCCATGTGGGAATCTAGTGCTTAACCACTATGCCACCTGCTGGTCCCCCCAACAGCTATCATTTTTTTATATTTATTTTTTAAAACAATGATTTCTGGTTTACATATAATATACACATATCTTTGTAATTTTTTTTCTTTAAGTTCTTTATTTCAGTTTATTCTATACATTCACTCATGTTACTTAGCTTGCAAAGTGAATATTCCAACATGCGTACATTATTCACCAGTCCTGTTAACAATACTATAAGTTTATCTTCAATAGATACGGTATTTTAAGACATGCACAGAATGTACAATAATCCAAAAGATATACCCATACTTGTCTTCTTCAACATTGCACATTACATTATGTTGTGTGCACATTTGTTAACATTTCTATTAGTAGAACGTTTTTGAAATATATATTCAACTGTCCATAGTTTTTATTCTGCTGTGATATACTATCCTATTGCTTCATCTCATTTACATGCATTCTCATGTCCAATTTTCTCACGAATCCTTCACTCCATCTTCCTCCAAACTTCTCCTGGTATCTACTGTAATTATCTCTATTTCTATGATTTAAAGTCCTTCAATTTTCCAACAGAGTGTGGACATTCTACATATGTTAAACAGAGACATATAGTATTTGTCTTTCAGAGATTGGTTTATTTCACTTAGCATTGTATCTTCTAACTTCACCCACTTTGAGTGAGATAATGGGATTTTTTGTTCTCTATGTCTGAGTAGAATTCTATTTGTTCATGTACTGTATTTTCCCAATACATTCACTGGTTATTGGGCACTAGATTGAGTCCATGAATTAACTATTGTGAATAATGTTGCAATAAACATAGATGTGCAAATGTCTTGCCAACTGAGCGATTGCCTGTCCTTGGGGAATATAGCCAATAGTGGAAATGCAGCTACCATTGACCTATCATATGCTCTACAAGCTGTAAGAATGTTGTACTGATCAACAATCTTCAATAATCCTCAAGGCAATACAAAGAGGTAAATATGCTTGCTCTTCTCTTTATCTCTGTCGTTAACTTATTATCTGTGAACATTTCATAGAAATTAATCTGCATGAAATTCAAGCTGTCCTTGAGGACACAAGGTCAGCTCTGCCAACTTTATAGTATCAGGATCTGTATTATTCTTTCAGGAAGTATTCAAGTTAGTGTCAGAAGACCTATAGTTAGAAATTAGTTAAGAGGGCAATGTTGTCACTCCTTCCTAGGGGGATTATAAAACTCTAATACCACAGTTGTTAAACTTTTCTCAAGGTCACAGAAAACATACATAATAAGAGAATCCAGGAGGGCCCCCTTTCATAAGCTTTACATTATTTCACCAGCAGGAGTTTTTCTGTAGATAGCAACCCTGTCTGAAGTCTGAATTATTTAAAGGAAATTTCACTTCCCTAAGTTCCCATACACCCTCATGTGATATTCCTCACACAAATTAACTTCACGCTTTCACAGGTGCGTCTGTGCCTCCGGTAACAACATTTTAGTATCT